ATTGTTTCTAAGTTTGAATGAAGTTTTCATTGTGGATGAATAGTATTTATATAGAATCATTTATATTTCAAACATGTCACAGCTTATGGTTTATACCCAGAATAGTCTTTGTACTGACTTTATGTTTCAACCAAAGGAGTGTCACATTGTTGGACATGATCTCCTAAATTTGTTTATGACAGGTCAAAGAAGGTGGAACCAAAGCCTGACCAGAAAACAAATTACATGTACAAAAGTTGATTTATATAAGTTAGTCAAGACATGTATTGATTTATGTTTGGATGAAAGGTTTAGAGATCAGACAAGGTCCTCTGTGGATGGCATGGCCATTGTGTTCTTTAAATGAAGTTATCAAAATTCTGTATAATAAACAGAAGATTTGGTACTGAAGACATTAGGGTAGATCAACGGAACATTGAATTAAACACATCACAGGAGGCGTGACATTGTCTTCAGTATAATTATACCAAAGTTATTCAACATTAACAAGTGCGATGTATGGCTGCCTTGATTAAGGAACTTGAAGTGCCTTTTCTAGATTTCTTACATGGAGTTTTTTTGTTATATATATATTTATGTCATGCAAGCTAAATATACACAGACCAATATCAAGTTTTTTCTTGTTAACCTTACAAATGTAGATGCTCATCATAGTCATAAATATGTTCTTTGAAACATTGTATGTCTAAATGTAATTTTTAATTGGATATTGGGTTTCATTTGCTGTATCTTTGATGGGTACATTTGTAACATGTAAAGAATTAAATTACTGTTTTAAATGCTGAGGTGATGATGTGGAGGGGAGTAAGAAAGGAAAGAAGAGAGAAGAAACAAATATATTTGGAGAAAGGGAAACTAGTGAATGATAGAATGGAAGAAAAACAAACAGTTGGAATGAAGTCAACCAATGATTGGTGAACATGAAAAAATGGAGGGGTCAGGTGAGAAAGTGAGAGCAGTCACTGGTGATGGTGTGAGACAGTGAGGAGAACAGTCACTGGTAATGGTGTGAGACAGTGAGGAGAACAGTCACCTGGTGATGGTTTGAGATAGTGAGGAGAACAGTCACTGGTGATGGTGTGAGACAGTGAGGAGAACAGTCACCTGGTGATGGTTTGAGATAGTGAGGAGAACAGTCACTGGTGATGGTGTGAGAAGAGAGAGCAGTCACTGGTGATGGTGTGAGAAGAGAGAGCAGTCACTGGTGATGGTTTGAGATAGTGAGGAGAACAGTCACTGGTGATGGTGTGAGAAGAGAGAGCAGTCACTGGTGATGGTGTGAGAAGAGAGAGCAGTCACTGGTGATGGTTTGAGATAGTGAGGAGAACAGTCACTGGTGATGGTTTGAGATAGTGAGGAGAACAGTCACTGGTGATGGTGTGAGACAGTGAGGAGAACAGTTACTGGTAATGGTGTGAGACAGTGAGGAGAACAGTTACTGGTAATGGTGTGAGACAGTGAGGAGAACAGTCACTGGTGATGGTGTGAGATAGCGAGGAGAGCAGTCACTGGTGATGGTGTGAGAAGAGAGAAAAGTCACTGGTGATGGTGTGAGACAGTGAGGAGAACAGTCACTGGTGATGGTGTGAGACAGTAAAGAGAACAGTCACTGATGATGGTGTGAGACAGTGAGGAGAACAGTCACTGGTGATGGTGTGAGATAGCGAGGATAACAGTCACTGGTGATGGTGTGAGATAGCGAGAACAGTCACTGGTGATGGTGTGAAAGAGCGAGGAGAACAGTCACTGGTGATGGTGTGAGACAGTGAGGAGAACAGTCACTGGTGATGGTGTGAGATAGCGAGGAGAACAGTCACTGGTAATGGTGTGAGATAGCGAGGAGAACAGTTACTGGTAATGGTGTGAGATAGTGAGGAGAACAGTCACTGGTGATGGTGTGAGATAGCGAGGAGAGCAGTCACTGGTGATGGTGTGAGAAGAGAGAGCAGTCACTGGTGATGGTGTGAGACAGTGAGGAGAACAGTCACTGGTGATGGTGTGAGAAGAGAGAGCAGTCACTGGTGATGGTGTGAGACAGTGAGGAGAACAGTCACTGGTGATGGTGTGAGAAGAGAGAGCAGTCACTGGTGATGGTGTGAGAAGAGAGAGCAGTCACTGGTGATGGTATGAGACAGTGAGGATAACTGTCACTGGTGATGGTGTGAGAAGAGAGAGCAGTCACTGGCGATGGTGTGAGAAGAGAGAGCAGTTACTGGTGATGGTGTGAGACAGTGAGGAGAACAGTCACTGGTGATGGTGTGAGAAGAGAGAACAGTCACTGGTGATGGTGTGAGAAGAGAGAGCAGTCACTGGTGATGGTATGAGACAGTGAGGATAACAGTCACTGGTGATGGTGTGAGAAGAGAGAGCAGTCACTGGTGATGGTGTGAGAAGAGAGAGCAGTCACTGGTGATGGTATGAGACAGTGAAGAGAACAGTCACTGGTGATGGTTTGAGATAGTGAGAAGAACAGTCACTGGTGATGATGTGAGACAGTGAGAACAGTCACTGGTGATGGTTTGAGATAGTGAGGATAACAGTCACCTGGTGATGGTGTGAGAAGAGAGAGCAGTCACTGGTGATGGTGTGAGAAGAGAGAGCAGTCACTGGTGATGGTGTGAGAAGAGAGAGCAGTCACTGGTGATGATGTGAGACAGTGAGAACAGTCACTGGTGATGGTTTGAGATAGTGAGGATAACAGTCACCTGGTGATGGTGTGAGAAGAGAGAGCAGTCACTGGTGATGGTGTGAGAAGAGAGAGCAGTCACTGGTGATGGTGTGAGAAGAGAGAGCAGTCACTGGTGATGATATTAGACAGTAAGGAGAGCTTTCTCTTGTGAAAAACGGCGTAGACTATGCAGCTGATGGCGAGGAAATGGAGCCATCACTTGTGATTAAATAAACATAGTCACTGGAAATAGCAAACAATTATTATGAATTAACGGGAAAAAGATAATCATGATTAGAGTGTGATAAATGGGAGATAGATTAGGGGATCAGAAAAGTAAAGAACACAATGATTGTTAATCTTATTTTGAGCTTTGAAAAACATCTATTTCCTTTATCGTGATAATGATGCTAGCTATTTGTGTTCAAGATAAAATTCTCAAATAATATTCATACCAAACAGATGAATATCATTTGGAGCATGAAATTACTGATAATAGTATCATAACGAGAAGAAAGCTTTGACGGTTTATAAGAGTAATCCTTAACCTAGCGAGGGTGGTGAAAGGGAGGGAAGCAAGTAGTGAAAAGTACTTATGGAACGAAACATAAAGGGGGATTTATAGCAATGAGGGGTAGGCAATCACAGGTGAAAATGCTTGCCAAGATATGGGGACAATAGTTGATAAAAACGTTGGTTGCAAGACGACACTTCTTGGTGAGGGACAATTGGTAGTAAATCGTGTATGTCTGAACATTGAATTATGACATTGGTCATATGTAGAAATGGTAGGAGACAAAAACTGAAGCGTGGTTTGGGAAAACTTCGGAGAGAAAGTGATGACGATATTTGTCTAGACATAATCATAAGACGCACACAAGGTTATTTACTTCGGGCTGGGACAGGTTTAAAACAACATGGATCCGAGGGTGAAGAAAATCAAGCATTCGAAATGTTGCTTTAAACGAACACTGGATAGCAGAACGTATTGGATTTAAAATTAATATGTTTGTAGAGAACGATGGTCGATATTCTGTACTTCACAGATTGTGGAATAGGGGGAGTAACCTTGTCTAGATAAATTGGAGTTTGAAAACATACCTCTAGTTTCTTTTTTCTATTATCATTTGAATTTCGTTTCAAGTACCTTGAAATCTTTCCATGTTGTGTTTTTTTTTTGTAAATATGTAGTTACAAGGGTGTTGTGATCGGCAAAAACATATCTCCTTTATGCTTATTATAATTAATACCCAATTTAGAGCTGCGCCTAACTTAATATCTCCAACGCAATCAGGATTTAGCATATTTTTCATCGCTGCACTGATATCTGTGTATAATAAAGTTTAGGTGTATTTACATTGAATGACGGTCTATCAACACCACATAAGCCTATCTATTTACTTCAGCGGCAGATAGGTTTATCTCAGCATGCTGGAATTATAATTTATTTTTTATTTCTTGTCAATGATGATATGTGTGCCGTGTTAGCCCGATACACACGAAGGTGCATGTCGTACGTGATAGTGCGTGGCAGAATGAGGTTCCTCCCAATATTTATCGGTCCCCTAGTAATAGACAGACATTGAGTATAATTACCGCTCTGTTCTGTCAGAGTGTTGGTTGCAGGTTTTCGGCATTAAAAGTGATATCAAGTGCAGTATGAAAAGAAGTAACAGGACTCATTCTACAGAATACCAACCGACAAGCTGAGATTATGGTGATCAAAGGCTTGTCATTTTATAATCTTTGACCTCAGTCTAAGTACACCATTCCTGGGGAGTTCAACCAATGAAACCCAAGAAACTACACATTAATCAATTTAAGACTTCAACTGGTCATCATTTAATCAGCTATAAACCTTATCTAGTTGTCCATTGATTATTTCTTAAATTCATCTAGTCGACGCCATTTCTAGACTTCACTCAGTCGCCATTTCATTATTTTTAGAATTTATCTAGTCGTCAAATGATTAAATTAAAACTTTATTTAGTCTTTAATTGATCCAATCTAGACTTCGTCTAGCCGTTCATTGATCAATCCTACATAGCGTCTTGCTTTTGATCAACCCTAGATTACAACTCAATTCTAGTTGATCAGTCCTTGACTTCACTAAGTCATTTGATCAATTCAGTTGTCAGCTGTCAATTGTGACCGTAATCAAAAATTTCAACAAAGCAACTTTAACTTCTAGATTTCAATCCACTGGAATTCTCACTGCTAAGCTCTAGAGCAGTAAAACCATAACTAACCCAAATATATAATATATGATTTTCATCAACAAGACGTAACGATGTAATTGTTGCTGCACTGATTTCTCTGTCTGTAATTGTAGGTTCGTCGAGAAGATGCTCGCTAGACCTGGCACAACGCAGTAGAACAGAGCAAACATCGCACTGACCATCCCAGTCGTTGACCATAAGATCCCCAGATCATTACAAGTCATGGATGACATTGACCAGCTAACTTACGACGCCCTGGTCAATGGAACTTTCAACTGGACATCGAATGACTCGTATTTCTTCTGGTATGACTACGATGACCTGCCTTGTATGTACGCATCAGATTATAAGAATGACTCAACATCCACCATGCTAGGGAGTCGCCCAAGCTACAACCTCCTGTTCAAGGTACTTTTACCTATCATCTGCGTGAGTGGCATCGTCGGTATCATCCTCACGGTCATGGTTCTTAGCCGTAAAAACATGTGTACATCTACTAACTGCTACTTAACGTCTTTGTCCATCGCAGACCTGGGCTTCCTTGTGATATTGTCGACAAAGTTTCTGGAATATCGCATTGTTGGCTACCAGTTCCACGTATTTGATATATATTTCACATACGCTCAGATATTTCTTCACACATTCCTCCTGGCCTCTGTCTGGTTAACAGTCATGCTTGCCATTGAACGTTATATAGCTATATGTCATCCGCTGAGGGCTATATCAATATGTACAGTTCGTCGGGCTCGCATCATCATCGTCGTCATTTTTGTCTTTTCCTTCTATTGCCGTATTCCAAACTTCTTTGAACATGAAATCAGAACAGTGACGCCATGCCCAGGCTCTCCAGAGTTTCGACACATAGTTCTAACAAAACTTGGACAGAACATAACTTATAAAATATCTTATGCGTGGTTAGTGGACTGCATCATCTGTGCTATTCTACCTTTTATAGCGTTGCTGTTCCTCAACATCAGATTGATTATAGAAATCCGTAAGTCTACAAGATATCTGAGATATCACCTAGGCACAGACAGTAGCATGCAAAATGCCGTAAGTAGTGAACAGCTTAAGATCACCATGATGTTGATTAGTATCATTTTTGTGTTCTTCATTTGCCAGGCCCCTTATGTGATAACGATAGCGTACAGAAATATCCATCAGTATACCTCGCGGACAATCCTTCGTTCTCTCACCATGGAGATCGTAGCAGATGCTACTATTTTCATGCTTGCGCTCAAATCCGCAATCAACTTTATATTATACTGTTGGTTCAGCGAAAAGTTTTGGAATACATTTAAACGTTCGTTCTGTATTCGGTACTGTCTGCGACGCTACAATAGAAGACGTCATAATGGCCATACGGTTCACTCGGCAGACCAAATGGGCAGTCAAAGTGCTCGGAAGGCTTCTTGTATGACTAAAGACACCATCTGTTGAACACATCATCTGTAACTGGCATTTTTCTGGTTTCAGAAAGAAAAACAGTGGAGTGGTTGAAATGTTTTCCTTGTGTTTATGTACGGAAAACTAAAAATTATGAACTTAGTTCCATATGTGCAATAGTATCGTATCTTATTTTGTCAAGATTTTCGCGAATTCTTATTTAACACGGTAAGCAGTGTTACGTGTTGAGTAACTGTACATATTATGTGTAATTATATTTGGAAAGTGATTTGTTGATAATTATTATTATGTTACAAAGCAGGATACTTATTCTTGTCAATAGAAAAAAAATGAAAAAAATACAACATATTTCAGAGTAATCTGACTTTTTTTTTTTTAAATTTTCGAATTCTGAAAAACTTGACTGACTCTCTTTGCTTAACGAGTATAATACATTATCATTGTCAGGTGGTTGATGTTACCAACCCATAACGGAGCATGGCTGTGCTATTTTTTTAAAGCAAGTTTTCAATTTTATGAAATTGTTGCAATGAAAATAGAAATCCGATATTACTTTGTCATATGTTTGTTATTTTTGTGAAGGAAAATTTTTTCACCATATGAATTATATCTTTGTCGGTTAGAAATGTATTGTCATTCTTCTTGTCCGTAATTTTTTGAATTTGTTGTCTCTAAATTTTAAGACAAAAGATAGTCATTGTTAAACATGGTTCACTGATGTGATTTGTTTCCTCCAACTTGTACCAGTAGGTACATGTGCACGTTTTTTGCTTTACATCATGAAAGATAATATCTAACAGATATGATGAACAAAAAAATCCATTTCGACAATTTTTATTATTGAAACATTTGCCAGCTTATGTAGAAATAAAACATCAGCTTATTAACCACACGTATAGTCTTTGATGGATGCGCGTTCGTGAGAGAAAACAAAGTAACATTGATCGTTATGCTATCTTTTCTCGGTCAATCGGGAGATAGAAACACCGCCCTCTGGATGGAGGAATTAGGGGCAAACCTTTAAAGTTCAGATTGTGATATCTTTAAACGTGGAGATGATTTTGATATAAATCAAAATTGAAATTTTTAGTTTATAGGTCACCTGGTCTCGTAGTAACGTATTCTGATACTCTTCATCCGGCGTCGTGTGTCCGTAAACAATTTAACACTTTCGATTTCTTCTTAAAAACCCTGAACCAATTTCAATGAAAATTTTGCAGAAACCTTCCCTGGCCTACGATGAACCTAAATTGTTAATCATACAATCCCCAGGGGCTGATAAGCGGGGACTAAAAATGGTCAAATTGACTTAAATCTCAAAAATCTTCTTCTCAAGACCCAGATATGGTAGAATCAAATGCATCTCATGAATGAAATCATCTTAAGGTGCTTTACCAAAATTGTGAATTCAAGGCCCCAGGGTCTCGCATATCCCCGTAGGGAGGGGGTAAAGTTCACTATACATTATATAGGAAAACAAGATTTTTGAGCATGATTTGTTTAATTTTCCATTGGAAATATTTCAGACCTGGTTAGAATTATGAGTAAATGATGACGGCCTCTGGTATGTCAATCTTGATCCTGACTAACCCCTAGGGGCTGATGGGCGGGGACCAAAATGGATCAAATTGACTTAGATTTCAAAATTATTCTTCTGAAGACCTAGATATGTTAGAATCAAATGCTCTTCTTGAATGGAAGCATCTTTAGGTGCTTTGATTATCAAAATGAGTCTCACATTTCTTTCTGGGGAGGAATTTTTTTTAGACTTTACTGCAATTTTCATAGAAAAATGGTATTTTTGAGCATAACGTTGGTTATTTCCCACTGGGAATAACTTTGTATGAATTATCAGTATAGGATGACAGTTTTGATGGTATGTATTGACGCTGTCTATATTCAGTGTCACAATTTCTGTTTCATGACACTTGATAACTATCCTTTAACCTTCATATTCAATATTGCTTACCTCAGGTGACCGCCAAGGCCACTAGGCCTCTTGTTCTAGGTCATTATGCCTCATACGTTCAGTCGAACCTCGATGTCTCGAATTCGTAGATCCCGTTTTATTCGAAACGTTTCGTTAGTCCCCGTCAAATTCATACAAAATATTTGAAATCACTGCAATTGAATAAACGGGTTTTCCCCCACGGAGATAACGAGGTTCGACTGTACATGATAAGGCTACTTACTGGTTGTAGCTATGCTGACAATAAGAACACGTTGTCGAAGTAAGTTGTATTATAAAATGCATTGCTACTATAAAAAAAGGTAAATTGGAAATATTTTTCTTAAACAGTGAAGTATGTGTTATTTTCTTATTTGTAGACGAATATAGAATGGATTATACGTTGACACATTGAAATGACATGTATTTTTGTGTTCGTTCTGTAGGAAGTGAAACCCATATTTTATCAAAAGATGTATTTATGTAGATGGAAAATTATTGTGATATCTTTTTGTAATGATTTAACACTATGTAAGTTCATGTAAATGTATCGCTTGATATTATGTTATGTAGTGAAAATGGCAAAATTTCATTAAGTCAATAAAAATAGAATAAAAACAAGTATTCAATCTAATCCCTGCGTTGTTGATATGTTCTTAAATGAACAAAACGGGAAAATCATTTGATATTGCTAAGCATCTGTTGGATGTTGGCAAAGTATGTGAAGAACATTAAGCCGAAGTACACATATTAAGTCTGACCAAAAACAATGATAACTCCCGATAGTATCTTCCTGTTGAAGTGATGTAACTGTTGAAATGTCATGGAGACAATACACATAACCCGCTGTGTTCTATCATAACTTCATTCAAAATGACGGGTTAGAAAAAATACCATCTTACCAACTCTAATAAGCGAACGGTAAGATCTAGATGATTATTTTCATCAGAAAAAAATGTTACCGATAACGACAAAGAAAGTACAGACATCGCGAAAGAGTCTTACTTCAATGAAACATTGAATAAAAGGATTATTCACAGGGAAACCTCTGAAAACGTTGAACGAAAAGACCAGGCGTTCCGGAGTGTGAGCGCTTTCTGTTTCATCAATGACATCCGCAATATAAGTAAGTAATGTCAAGTTTCTAAATAAGATAAAAACCAAGGGACCTCCAGGTATTGAAACTAAGGCATCAGGTTTATGTCATGCCATTACTTTAAGGTGACTGATCATCACCATGCATTAAATCGCCAAGTACACGAGCCATTGAAGGAAAATCGGAATTGGTTGAAAGAAAACAAAGAAAGGAGGAGGAAAAACAGATGTAATAACCATACAATTTCATAAATTTCACTATGGTATAATTTCTAGAGAATATACGTATGTGTAATGTAAACCAAACCTCAATTCAAATTGTAATTCCTTGTATTGTATGGGGCATTCGATAAATGTTAATATTAGATCATTTTGTCAGTTAACTCTTTTTACATATATCCTAAAAACCGAATATCCGTGATTTCTTATCTTAACACATTTTCTTGCAATACAACAATATTAAATTATAATAATAATGCATATTTTTAATTATGTGAGTAAACTAACTGAAACGATACACGGGGTGTTTTAACACTTAACACGATTAAAAATCCTTATACTCTACAGAACATGTATGGTGGACTAAAGAACAGCGATACAAAAGAAGAAACACGTGATCTCTATTGTTTGAAGGAAGTTGAACATACTGTCTGGGCTAAGATATAAATGTAAAATGTTTTAATGCATAAGCATTTAATGATGTATCGCGTTTCCGTATGTCTCCACCATCTATTGATAACATTATACTTTTTTGTTGAAAGCTGTAATGGAATTTTTGAAATGTTGATCTGAATATTTATTCATTAATTCATTAATTTTAATGGTGTTAATAATACAGATCCCAAGGGCTCCCTCGTCATTCACAGGCTTATGTACAGAATATAGCAAAGCAGAAATGCACAAGTTCCTGAACCATGAAAGTCATGTAATATAATGTTACCAATCTCTATAAAATTGTGAACTGGCAAAATATTTAACACACTAATTTTCCAATAATACTGTGAAATCCTTCATTTTCGTGAATTATTTATTTTCATTAATATCACTGGTACACTCAACCCATGAATTCATATGTCCACGAACTGTCAATTAGTATATATATTGAGTTCTATTTATCCACGGATTCATATTTCAAAGAAATGTTTAAGAAACTAACACTAAAATTAAATCCCACGAAAATATATGATTGTACAGTATAAAAATTACATTCAGATTTGATTTCAAAAATTTTAAAAATACAGCTTAGGTATTGTTCCGACGTCAATAATCACGAAAAGGCTTGGGAATAAACAGTATTTTTTTAATAACGGCAGACGAAACTTTACCATCTGTATGATGAAAAAGAAGATAATAAAATGCCAAAATGTTTACAATTTTAAGGTGAAGATGGACCGTGTAGACGGACTCAACTGAAATGGCGGAAACTTCCGTGAGAGACAACCTGTGCACCCCGTAGAGCAAGGACGGGAAAGCAGTTGCCCCTGCATTAAATGAACACCTGACACGATATTGATGATGTTCCAAATATTTTTCAAATATTCTTAAAAGAGATTATATCATATTTTTCCACATTGAACTTTTTATCCTTAGATGTTACCACTACCAGTGATTTTTTTCTGTTCTAATGATTAAAATAGTTTAAATATCAGATCTTAATCTGAAATGGTAACAGGGGAATCAGTGTGGACCTGTCACGGTTAAAACCCTTAATAATAAAATATTACTAGTAGGATTAAAAAGAAGATCCATCTTTTGTGCATGAAACATTATTTTGTGCTATTTATAACACAGACCTGGGTCAAATCGGTATTCTGGCGCGTTCATATCTAATTTTACCCTGATCGAACTGTTTCTGAAAAACAGCTTAATTTGAGATGGATTATCGCAGGTGCAGTCTCTCTGTAGCATAACCAACACTTTGTTTGCTTTTCTTCTACCAAAAGAAACTTGCTACCAATTGTAAGACTTTATGTGATATAAGAATCCAAATATTATTTGTATATGACACAGATTTAAATTGCTGAACATGTCTCTAGTGCAGAGCCCCCAGAAAAAGAAATTAGGGACTGAAATCTCTTCTCCAGTCTGTTAAGCCTTGAGTATTGACATTAGTAGGATATCAGGTCACTTTAACAAGTGTTACAGATATGTTTTTGGTAAAAGCTCTTTTGAATGTGTTGACTTCAATTAACATCGTAAATAGACGTCACACAATAAATCGTTATTAGAATGGTATTTCTTTCTTGAGTTCGTTTCAAAAGATGCATAAAATTGCATCTTTAGAATAACTTTTTAAAAAATTAACGAAGGTGAAAGAAATACCATGTACTGGTATAACATCCTTGATACTATGTGTGACCTGTTTCTACTTCAATACAAAAGATGTTTCGAGGATGAGTAGATCTTTTCTGTACAAAAGTGTATTTTGTTTAATCAGCTTGGGCGTATTGACATAACCTGTTGTGAAATGCAGTTAATTTGAATATACTGAGAATTTTAAAAATACTTGGTAAATTACAATTAATGTAAATGGGTTTGTTATTTTTCAGAACAATAAATTGATAAAATTTCCTATAAAATCAAATTATTTTTTTAAAAAATCGTAGACTGTTTATTGCCTGTTTTAATTTCTGTGAATGTATGTAGGGCATTTTCGGTCAAAGTTTAACTTCTCAACCAATCAAAAGAGCGGAATTTCATATACCGTTAGTGATACATATCATGTATTTATCAAATCGTCAGCACCCTGTGGTCTGAGAGTGGATATTACGGCTTAATATTGGGTTTAAACAAAGTCAGTCTTCGGAGATATTAAACACTTCTCTGTGTATCTATCTTTGGTTGGTGACTTATGCTATTTTTAACAAGTCCACTGCTTGCAAATCTAAGATATTTATCTTTACTACAAAAGAGGGACATGACCCTTAACGATCATCTGACAATCAACAGATAGACAGTCCACAGAATTTGATGAAGGTAGTCCGACAAATCTGATGAATTCAAATTTTGAACATTCCTAGAAAGGATCCAGAAACTCATAAATGGTAGGTTTTGTTCAGTAAAAACAGTTGCTCAATCATGTTACAATATTGCCACTTTGCTTACCATGTTGAGTTTTGACCAGGTTGGAAAATAACAACATATCACCTGTTTCTTTTCTTTAACAAATCAAACTTCTCTGCGGTGTAAATGAACTGGAGAAGTACTATGTTCAAAATGAGTTATGTTTGATTTCGGGCCAGAGCTAAAAATAACACTTCATGCACGTTTGATATCATTGCCACTCCCTAATGTTTAGACCACAAAGGGTAATTTTACCCAGGCATGTAAAGAGAGTAACAATTTGAAGCAAAATATTGTCTAACTGCTTTTTTTATGGCCCCACATCTAAGTCCTTGGGGTCGAATCAACTTTCTGAATTGAAGAATTATTGCTCACGCCAAGCGATGTTTCACGCTAAATTTGAATGAAACCCATTTAAACTTTAAGGGAGAGTAGTGTTTCGAAGCAAAACATTGAATAACTTTCCCTTTTAGGATCTTGCCCATAGATCTCTAGGGGGCGAATCAAATTCTTGTATATGAGAAATGAAAACCCATTCACAATTATGTTTCACACCAAATTTGGTTGGAATCCGCTCAGACGTTAAGCAATAGTGTTTTAAAGTAAAAGTTGACAGACGGAGCACGGCGCACGACGACGGTGACGCGAGATAATAACAGGTAATCGTCGGATCAGATGACCTAAAGTTTGTTGAAGTTGGTGATGAAGTATTTGGCTCTTCGACATATCCAGAATAAAATGGATAGAGCATGAGCACACATAAAGCGCTGCGTTGTACCGATGATTGCCAGTGACTGCATTTGTTTTAGTGGGATTTTTTTTTTCAAGTTTTTACACTGAAGTTCAAATGCGAGCGGAAATTGACTTTTGCCGTTCACGGGTAATAAATATAGCAAACACAAAAAGGTAGAAAATAATGTTAATATACATTATGCAAATGAAATAAATTGTCTTGAATTGTGGTCGTTTATCATCTTTAATATCGAGTTATCACGTCAAACTTTCGAAATTATCTCGAAATTTCGAGTTAGTAAGTAAAACATTCGAGTTAATTACACGAAGATACGAAATGTTTTTTTTTCTCTGCATGGCTTATATGCTCATCCGTATTCATCAGTTTCCAACAGAAAAGTTCAACAATAGCGCTTTCCATGCATGTACATTTCACCGATCTTAATAAATATACTCACGGGATAAAGAAACACAAGGTGACATTATTTGCAATATCATGCGAACAAGTTGATCAAAACAATGAAAATCGGTCAAGTAACTTTATAGGTGCAGTGCACGTGGTCCTGTATCGAATGTTGCATTATTGTATTGCGTGACAATGATGTCTCCCGGAGAAATCACGAAACTGGAAAATCTCGTGCACGCCAGTGTTGTGACATTGAGTTACACTGCTCGTCATACCATTAGGTAGTCTTCATAGAGACACCTCATTTTCCGATATTTTGATTAATTTCTGATAGCATT